GGAACTTCATTCGCTTTTTCCCTTCTCTTTTGGATCGGAACTTTTGCGTCCCGTTTTTATGCTTTTAGTGGTTACCTTCGCACTGTTGGCACTCGTATTTGACCTAACGATAACAGAACTTCAGCAGCTAGTCATTCGTGTACCGATAATGATCGAGTTTCCCTACCGTGTGCCAGGCACCTGTCCGGGTGCTGGGGAGACAGCCGGAACCAAAATTTCCGCCCTGAGTACCTACCCACCTGGACTATTTCTACTCTAACCATGCCTTTAAGAGCTTCCATTTTGCTTTGTATTTTCATTTCAGCCTGTTTTCAAAAGCTCCCAAGTTAGCTGTTTGTATAAGATTTATTGTTGCTGTTTGACTTTTTAAATTAAAAAAAAATTTTTTTTTTTTTTTGCAGTTGTTATTTAGATTTAGCCGTATAGTTACCAGTTTCTTTTCTAACAGTTAGTTGCTTCTTGCGCCCTGCCCCTTAGTTTTGGATTTGGGTTCCTTCATGAAATGTGTCTTTAAGTGGATCTTTCAGTCAGGGACTATTAGTAAACATTCAGGTTTTGTTTGCTTCCAAGTAGATCGTGCCCTCTCTTGAATGATAATGTAGAACTTTAGCACAAGAGTTCTTTTCCTCAGCACTTTACAGAGAGCGTTTCATGGTTTTCTGGCCTCTATTTTCTGTTTTCTTCAAAAGAAGAGGCTGCTGTTTATCTAGTTGGTATTTCTTTAAATTTTTTTAATGTTTATTTTTGAGAGAGAGAGAGACCAAATGCAAGCAGGGGAGGGGCAGAGGGAGAGAGGGAGACACAGAATCCGAAACAGGCTCCAGGCTCTGAGCTGTCAGCACAGAGCCGGACGTAGGACCCGAACTCTGGAACGGCGAGATCATGATCCTAGCCGAAGTTGGACGCTTAACAGACTGAGCCACGCAGGTGCCCCTAATTGTTACTTCTTTATAGAAAAATTTGCTTTTACTGTTTTTCTCTGTATCTTGGTGCTTGACGTTTTTCATTGTGATGTGCCTTGTGCAGACTTTTTTCTGATTTACTCTTGGAATTTGATATGCCCTTTCATTCTGAGGACTCGTATGTTTCTTTAACTCTAGAAAATGTTCAGTCACATCTTTAAATACAGTGTAGGTAGACCCAACCCACTGTAAATTGGATGCTTTTGACTCAAGTAACAGAAGCCTCAATGAAAATAGATCTCAAAGTCATTTTAAGAAATATGTTATTTCACATTAAGTAGATTAAGATATATTATTAAAATGTGTATTTCACGTAACAAGAGGCCAGGATGCAGTGACTTGAGCATCTGTTAATCCAGCAGCCCAAGGATCCAGCTCTCTGCTGACTTAGCATCTGAGGATGCCAAGATGGCTGCCTTTGCTCTGTCTGTGCTTTCTTTGCCGTTAGGGCCATTAGGAAAAGATTTTTCTTCCCAATGTCTTTGTGAGATCAAAGCAGCTTTTCCTAGATATCCCCATCTCCACCCTGTTTATCCCCAGACATCTCTTTCCGACTTCTTTGTCAGAATTGCAAGGAGAAAGGACACAGTGATTACTTTAGACTTACCGGGATCTAGCTCCCCAAACTGGGGATGGGATCAACCTTCTGGGAGTCACTGGGAGAAGGATTGGACACCAAAGCGAAGTAAGAGGTCTGCCAGTGAGGAGAAAAACCAGAGTGGTTGTTGGGTAGGCACCCAGCAGTGTTTGCTACCCGTGTTCTCGTTAATGTCTCTTGCTGCCACTTCTGTTGAACATATGTTGTATCTTTTTATCCTGTCCTTCATGAATCTTGACTTTTATTTCCTATTTTCAGTTTCTTAATCTTTTAATTGCATTCTGGGTAATTTCCTCAGAGCTGTCTTCTAGTTTACTATCTTTCTCTTTAGCTAAATCTGCTGTGCAGCATGACCATTGAGTTTTCAATGTTAACAACTAAAATTTTGATTTCTGTATATTTCTGTTTGGTTCATTTCATGTCTTACTCTTTCATTATGGTTCTTACCTCTTTTCTTTTTAAAGCTTTTAATTGTGTGTATAGTCTCGTTCATCTTTTTCTATTAATTTAAGTTCTTGGAATGTCAATTCTGCTGTTTTTGTATGTTTGTTTGTTTTGTTGACGCCCCCTCATTGTGAATTGTATGCACTCACTTTCACTGAGTGTTTATTTTGAGAATGTGGAAATTCACTACAGAGCCATTTTATATTTACTTCTACAGCATTACTTAAAAAAAAATTTTTTTTAACGTTTATTTATTTTTGAGATCGAGCATGAACGGGGGAGGGTCAGAGAGAGAGGGAGACACGGAATCTGAAACAGGCTACATGCATATGTAGCTTTGTTAGATATTGCTACCTTCCCCTCCACTGGGCTTTGCCCTTTTGCACGCACATCTGGAACAGAGGGGAATGCCCCTCTCCCTGCAGCCCCGCCACCAGAACGTGAAAGGAAAGAAACGGTGTCTTTGTGTAGTTTTGTGTGCATTTCTCTTATTTTCATTGCAACTGGGCATCTTTTTGTACGTTTGAGTACGATTGGTCTTTCGCCTCCCGTGAACCGTTTCCGTCTTTTCACGCCCAGTTTTATTGAGATACAAATTGACACGTTAACATTGTGTAAGTCTAAGGTATACAGCTTGACGATCTGATGGATGTATGTGCTGTGAAATGATGCCCACAAAAGCCTAGTTAACACTGAACTCCTCAGAGAGCTACATATGTTTCTGTTTATATCTTTTGCTCACGTTTCTGGTTTTTCACCTTTTCTATTTTTTTGGCATTATTTGTAAATTAGAATGATTGGTCCTTTCTCTGTGACAGAAGTGATATTTTCTCCCAGTTCATTTGTCTAATGACTCGAAGTCTGTTTTCTTTACCACCATGTTATCCCTTGTACAGTTAAGAATAATAAGCTTATGTAGGACTTTGGTTTCGAGACATCAACTAATAATTTACTTGTGAGAGTTAACAAACACCCAGTTGGTTAAGTGTCTGACTTTGGCCCAGGTCACGATCTCACCGTTTGTGAGTTCGAGCCCCAGATCGGGCTCTCTGCTGTCAGCACAGAGCCCACTTCCCATCCTCTCTCTCTCTCTGCCCCTCCCCTGCTCATGCTTTCTTTATCTCAAAAATAAATAATAAACATTAAAAAAAAAAGGAGTTGGGGTGCCTGGGTGGCTCGGTCGGTTGGGCATCCAACTTTGGCTCAGGTTCGTGATCTCATAGTTCATGGGTTCGAGCCCTGCGCTGGGCTCTGTGCTGACAGCTCAGAGCCTGGATCCTTCTTCGGATTCTGTGTCTCCTTCTGTCTCTGCCTCTCCTCCCTCCTCTCTCAAAAATGGATAAACATTAAAAAAAAAAAAAAAAAACCCAAAAGAATTACTTGGTGCCGCTCCAGCCAGCAGGCCTCGGGTTTGTGGTTCTGACCCACCGCCGTCAGGCTCACTGAAAAGGGAAGCTTTCTAGCCAGCACTTAGGACTGCTGGAAACAGAAGAAAGGCTGCCTCTTCTGCTGGAAACAGAAGAAGGGCCCCCTCCCTGTGGCCAGAGGTGTTTGGACAGAGGCGTCGGTCCCGGCGGCTGCGGGGAAGGCTCTGCGCCGTGTGTGGGCAGTTCAGGCACCAGGGTCCTTGTCGTCTGGCTCATGGAAAGGAAATCTTTCCTTCTGGTGTCTTCTGTTTGTTGGGATCCAGAGCCGCTGGAGGAAGTGATCTGTGGGATTTTCTGGCTGATCAGAGTAGATGGCAGTTTTGGGGAAACAGGCATCTGTAGGATTTAATGTTCACCTGTTAACCTTGAGCTTCAGCCGAGATTCTGAGCCGGTGTCTCGGAGCAGGGACTGTGCCTTGTAGAGCATGGTGTCTGTGGGCCGGGAGCTCAAACTGTGCCTGCACCTACCTATTTATAATTGGTGCTTGGCTCCTTGACCTCCTTCACCACCTCTCACAAGAAGAGTGATGCTGTCTCGATATGAGTTGTGCTTGTTGAAACCCTGCTCGGGGAACTCAGAACAGTTCCTATGATAATCTTTTTCAAAAAGTGTTCAGTTGTTTATTTTGGGAGAGAGAGAACCCATGTGTGTGAGCAGGGCAGGGTCAGAGCGAGAGGGAGAAAGAATCTTTTCTTTTTAATGTTTATTTTTGCTCGTGCAAGCGGGGAAGGCAGAGAGGGCGACAGAGGATCTGAAACGGGCTCTGTGCTGACAGCCCAGAGCCCAACGTGGGGCTTGAACTCACAGACCGAACGATCGTGACCTGAGCCGAAGCTGGACGCTCAGCTGACTGAGCCACCCAGGTGCCCCAACGAGAGAAAGAATCTTAAGCAGGCTCCGCGTGCGGCAGGGAGCCCCCGTGCGGGTCTCGACGTGGGTCTCAATCCCTCAACTGTGAGATCATGACCTGAGCCAAGATCAAGAGTTAGACGCTCAACTGACTGAGCCCCCCCGGGCGCCCTCCTGTGATAATCTTATTGTCAGACGTTAGTGGGCACGCGCATCAGCTGGGGTGAGAATGCAGATTCTGATTCAGGAAGTCAGAGGCGTGCCTGAGCCGTAGGCTGCCGTGATGCCGATGCTGCTGGTTCAGGGACCTCCCTGAGTTGCGGGGGCCCCGAAGCAGCAGTCCACAGCGCGTTTGAAACAGAGTCACCTGTCCCCTGCTCGTTTCAAACGCAGACTCCTAGGTTGGACCTCGGGTCTCTGGGACCAGCCTGTCTCGGCTCTCTGGCTGGCGCCGCTTCCTAAGTGACGTCACAGGTTTTGAACCGCTGGCCCTGGGGAAAACGAATAGGATGGTTTAGGTTGGACGAGCCCATCGTTCAAGGAGGCAGACGCGTGGAGCCGCACGGAAAGTCAGTTGTAGAAAGCAGGCCGGTGGGGAAGACTGGCTGAGAGCCTCGGGACTGGCAGGAGAACGGGGCCTCTGCTGCTCTGCTCTCCAGTGCGTAGGATGCGATTTGACGAGTCTCTCCCCGTCCCCTGGTCTCGCCTTCTTTTTCTAGTCGTCCGGCATGCTCTGCCCACCGCACGCCGAGGTGCCCTGACCATGAGCCTCGACTCCTCCCTCGGCCACGGGAAGGAGCTGAGTAACCTCACAGAGGAGGAGGGTGGCCAAGAGGGGGTCGTCGTCACCAGCTTCGTCGCCATCATCATCATCACCGTGTTCGTCTGCCTGGGCAACCTGGTCGTCGTGGTCACCTTGTACAAGAAGTCCTACCTCCTCACCCTCAGCAACAAGTTCGTCTTCAGCCTGACCCTGTCCAACTTCCTGCTGTCCGTGCTGGTGCTGCCTTTCGTGGCCACCAGCTCCATCCGGAGGGAATGGATCTTCGGCGTGGTCTGGTGCAACTTCTCGGCCCTTCTGTACCTGCTGATCAGCTCGGCCAGCATGCTCACGCTGGGGGTCATAGCTGTCGACCGGTAAGCTTGCCGCAGACGTCGAGAGTGGAAGAGTTAAGGAGCGTGTGCAGAGCGGGAACGGGAGACATCGTCTCGTTTTAGCTCCTGGGGAGGATGTCAGGGGCCTCTGCCGGGGAGGGTGAGAAAGCCTCTTCCATCCCTTCAACCAGAGCATCTCTGATTTCAGCTGGCCGACACTGCATATAGGTTTAGTCTTTAAAAGCAGTTCCGTTGCTTACAAAGAAAGTTCTCGAAATCTCTGGCCCGCGCTTGAAGGATGAGAAAAAGAAGCCGGGGAGGGTGATGCGTCAGAGATGTTGGTTTCCCAGAGGGCTGCCTGCCGTCTGCTGCTTTGGTCGGGCCCCTGGAGTCATCTTGCTTATAAGGATTTTGCTCTGATGGTCAGTTCGTTCACCACAGGCCAGTGTGTGACTTCAGAGAGAGAGTAGATTCAGCTTGCGGGACGGGGGAGGAAGCTAGCAATGGAGTCAGAGGAGACTAGCCAGGGTTCTGGTCGCTTGGTGACACATTCCCTGAGCTCCCTCGGGGACCGTCAGTATTTTAGCTGACGAGTGGTAGCTGGATGGTCCATTCTGAGCTCAGACCTCCTCTAGGCCCAAGGCCGAACCCTGTCGGCTCTCGGCGGCTGTGGGGGATGTAAAATGAAGGAAGCGACTGGTCAGAACTAATCAGTTGGCTTCTCTGAATATCTTTTTTTCTCCAGTAACGTAAATGTTACAGAAAATGTAAAGAATAAAATAAGAAATGTCCACAGTCTCACCACTGTTTCATTCTTAGTATATTTGCCCCCAGTAATTTTTGGTTGCATACAGTACATTTTTTTTTTAACAGTACATTTTTTAAATAGGCTTTGTGGCCCATGTGGTTTTTGTGAGCTGCTGTTTTACTTAACAAGTGATGGGGAGCATTTCCTTCCTCCGGCGGTTGTCACGTGCCCTTTAAGAACATGATTTTTTTTTTTTTTTCAATATATGAAGTTTATTGTCAGATTGGTTTCCATACAACACCCAGTGCTCATCCCAAAAGGTGCCCTCCTCAATACCCATCACCCACCCTCCCCTCCCTCCCACCCCCGACCAACCCCCTGTTTGTCCTCAGTTTTTAAGAGTCTCTTACGCTTTGGCTCTCTTCCACTCTAACCTCATTTTTTTCCCCTTCCCCTCCCCCATGGGTTTCTATTAAGTTTCTCAGGATCCACATAAGAGTGAAACCATATGGTATCTGTCTTTCTCTGTATGGCTTATGTCACTTAGCATCACACTCTCCAGTTCCATCCACGTTGCTACAAAGGGCCATATTTCGTTCTTTCTCATTGCCACGTAGTATTCCATAGTGTATATGAACCACAATTTCTTTATCCATTCATCAGTTGATGGACATTTAGGCTCTTTCCATAATTTGGCTCTTGTTGAGAGTGCTGCTATGAACATTGGGGTACAAGTGCCCCTATGCATCAGCACTCCTGTATCCCTTGGGTAAATTCCTACCAGTGCTATTGCTGGGTCATAGGGTAGGTCTGTTTTTAATTTTCTGAGGAACCTCCACACTGTTTTCCAGAGTGGCTGCACCAATTTGCATTCCCACCAACAGTGCAAGAGGGTTCCCGTTTCTCCACATCCTCGCCAGCATCTATATTCTCCTGATTTGTTCATTTTGGCCACTCTGACTGGCATGAGGTGATATCTGAGTGCGGTTTTGATTTGTATTTCCCTGATGAGGAGCGATGTTGAGCATCTTTTCATGTGCCTGGTGGCCATCTGGATGTCTTCTTTTGAGAAGTGTCTATTCATGTTTTCTGCCCATTTCTTCACTGGGTTAATTGTTTTTTGGGTGTGGAGTTTGGTGAGCTCTTTATAGATTTTGGATACTAGCTCTTTGATATGTCATTTGCAAAGATCTTTTCCCATTCCGTTGGTTGCCTTTTAGTTTTGTTGATTGTTTCCTTTGCTGTGCAGAAGCTTTTTATCTTCATAAGGTCCCCGTAGTTCATTTTTGTTTTTAATTCCCTTGCCTTTGGGGATGTGTCAAGTAAGGAATTGCTACGGCTGAGGTCACAGAGGTCTTTTCCTGCTTTCTCCTCTAGGGTTTGGATGGTTTCCTGTCTCACATTCAGGTCCTTTATCCATTTTGAGTTTATTTTTGTGAATGGTGTGACAAAGTGGTCTAGTTTCAATCTTCTGCATGTTGCTGTCCAGTTCTCCCAGCACCATTTGTTAAGAAGACTGTCTTTTTTTCATTGGATGTTCTTTCCTGCTTTGTCAAAGATTAGTTGGCCATACGTTTGTGGGTGTAGTTCTGGGGTTTCTATTCTATTCCATTGGTCTATGTGTCTGTTTTTGTGCCAATACCATGCTGTCTTGATGATGACAGCTTTGTAGTAGAGGCTAAAGTCTGGGATTGTGATGCCTCCTGCTTTGGTCTTCTTCTTCAAAATTACTTTGGCTATTCGGGGCCTTTTGTGGTTCCATACGAATTTTAGGATTGCTTGTTCTAGTTTCGAGAAGAATGCTGGTGCAATTTTGATTGGGATTGCGTTGAATGTGTAGATAGCTTTGGGTAGTATTGACATTTTGACAATATTTATTCTTCCAATCCATGAGCACGGAATGTTTTTCCAACTTTTTATATCGTCTTCAATTTCCTTCCTAAGCTTTCTATAGTTTTCAGCATACAGATCTTTTACATCTTTGGTTAGATTTATTCCTAGGTATTTTATGCTTCTTGGTGCAGTTATGAATGGGATCAGTTTCTTTATTTGTCTTTCTGTTGCTTCATTATTAGTGTATAAGAATGCAACTGATTTCTGTACATTGATTTTGTATCCTGCAACTTTGCTAAATTCATGTATCAGAAGAACATGATTTTTAATGGTTCCATATTATGCCATCCCATGGAGGTAGAATTTATTTTTACAGTCCCTTTGTAGCTTCCTACTTGGAGGAACGTGTGTGTGGTGAAATTGTGGTTTTGGTAAGAAGAAACACACGTTCGCGATTCTTCATGTGTAAAAGGCAGGTTGTTTTCCAGAAGACTGGGTAGACTTTTACTCCAGTAGCTGTTCGTTGGCATCCTATCAAGACTGATTATGTAACAGTAAAAAAAGTAATTGGGGGACGCCTGGGTGGCTCAGTCGGTTGAGCGTCCGACTTCGGCCAGGTCACGATCTCGCGGTCCGTGAATTCGAGCCCCGCGTCAGGCTCTGTGCCGACAGCTCGGAGCCTGGAGCCTGCTTCAGATTCTGTGTCTCCCTCTCTCTCTGCCGCTCCCCGCTCTCTCTGTGTCAAAATAAATAAAACATTAAAAAAAAAAAAGTAATTGAAACTTTGTTGGCAGTGGGGACACATTGGATCTCGCCATTGTTCCAATTTCCATGTTTTTAAAAAATTGTTGATTTTTTAAATGTTTATTTGTGTGAGAGAGAAAAATCTTAAGTAGGCTCTGGGCGGACAGCACAGAGCCTAATTTGGGGCTTGAACTCACCAACCACCGTGAGATCATGCCCTGAGACAAAATCAAGAGTTTTAACGGACTGAGCCACCCCGGCGCCCCCAAATTACTGTTCTTTGAATTTCCTTTCCTGGGCCCTGGGTCCTGTGGGACATGGGGTGAAGGCAAACCGCTAGAGGAGAGCTGAGGATGTTTTTTTTAAGTTTATCTATTTAGAGGGAGAGAGAGCAGGGGAGGGGCAGAGAGAGAGGGAGAGAGAATCATAAGTAGGCTTCATGGTGTCAGTACAGAGCCCAAGGTGGGGCTGGATCTCAGGAACCGTGCGAACCAAGAGCTGAACCCATTGCTTAAGGGGCTGAGCCCCCCTGGGGAACTGGTTTTTAAGTGCCTCTCTTGGAGCCGTCTGTATATGGATGTTTGGGAAATCGTGCCCGCTGGGCGGGGCCAGGTGGGGGAGACTCAGTTGCGTTGCCCAGTTTGGTGCCTTATTCTCTCCCGTGGGGGTGCTGGCCGGATGGCCACGTAGGAACGGCTCTGGGCCTGGTCCTTAGGGCGGCAGGATACCAGCGGGCACAGCACCCAGACCTTGCCCACGTGTTCACACGTAGGCGGCAGAGGCCTGCCAGCGAGGGTGGGTGTGGACACAAAGCATAGGGAACTAGCGCGGCCCCAGTCCTGCCTGGGGTGGCAGGGCCTGGAGGGCTCCCCGGAAGAGGTGCCACTTGAGTAAGTCCTAACCGCGAGTAGGATGGCACAGGCCTGGAAGAGCTGGGAAAGACCCTTCGATGGAAGGAACAGCCTCCAGCAGGTAGTGCGGGGAATGCATGACTAAGATGAACAGATGAGCAGAGGAACTCACAGCGGAGGGGAGGGGAAGGACCATGGAGTAGGCGGTAGTGCTGGGCGGGGCCTCAAGCGGGGAGGAGGAGCCCGGGGCGGGGGGCGGGGGGGGAGGTGTGGGCGTGCATCCTCTGTGGCTGGAGACCCTCACCGGCTGTTGGTGGTGGCTGGAAACACGGTGACACACACGTGTCACATTTACCCGCTGGAGCTTTGATCCACGCGGCCTGACTCCACACCACCCCGTGACAGAGGCTGTCCAGAAGGGACCTGTGCCTCCCCTCGGTGACCGTTACCTCCCCACCAGGAGGTGCAGCCAGGCAGGGTCTTGGCCGGTTCTGGTGATTACAGCCTACCGTCCGCTGTCATCGTGTTTTCAAGTAACTTGGTGGCAGATGCAATTTACTTTTTATTGGTCGTTTATTATTGGTCATGTGGCGTAAAGATACAAATTGACTGGGCCCGTTTACGTGATCTGGCCCTTCTAAGTGACATAATATACTCCTTCTGCCTGCTTCGTTTTAGTACATTAATTTTACTCTATCTTGCTAATTTTGGAGGTCACATGTTTGTCCCAGTCTATTGGAAACCTAAAGATGCAACTCTGTGTGTGTGTGCGTGTGTGTGTGAGAAAGAGAGAGAGAGAGAGACGTGGAGGGGGAGGGAGGGAGGATGAGGGAGAGAGAAAAAACAGCAGTAGGACAGGAGGGAAGAAGAACAGAGAACAGGACTAGAGGAGAGAGCCGGAAACACTCTAAGAAAGTGGAAGGAGTGGGGGGGGCGCCTGGGTGGTTCAGTCAGTTAAGCGTCTGACTTCGGCTCAGGTCATGATCCCGTGGCTTGTGAGTTCGAGCCCTGAGTTGGGCTCTGTGCTGACAGCTCGGAGCCTGGATCCCGCTTCGGATTCTGTGTCTCCCTCTCTCTCTGCCCCTCCCCCACTTGTGCTCTGTCTCTCTCTGTCTCTCAAAAATGAGTAAGTGTTAAAAAAAAAAAAAAAAAGGAAAGTGGAAGCGGAGAACCCGCCGGGGCAGGTGTCGTGACCTCCACTGAAAGGGGTTGCTGCTAATACACAGTCCTCCCAGCAAATCCTTGCAACTGGGGGCTGGCTCCCATTCTGCAGGTGGGCAGAGTGAGGCTTTGTGAACCTGCCCAAGCTCACGTGGCTGGTAGGCAGCTCGTCGGGTTCCGAGGAGGCGAAGGCGGGACTCAGAGGGAGCCACCCATCAAGTCCAGCAAGCGGCTAGTTTGGCCCAGGGTTTCTCAAGCTGGCACTGCTGACGTTCTGGGTTGGGTCACACTTTGTGGGGACGGGGGGCCGTCCTGGGCAGCACCCCTGGCCTCTGCTCACTAGATGCCGGTGGCTCCTCCCCAGTTGTGACCACCCAGAATGTCTCCAGATATCGCCACGCGTCCCCGGGGGGACACGTCGTCCCCAGCAAGAACCCCAGCTAGAGAACTCCGCAAACTAAGTTGGCAGATGAGCCAAAAGAGAACAGACCGCGTAAGAAGAATGGCTGACTGGAGGGAGATTCGGTGGGAATGTCGGTGTCCGAAACCGGCCACGTGGGGAACGTCATGTGACCCGGGGAGAACTGTACCCCGAGTGAGGGTGTGACGTGGTCGCTTAACCCGGCAGCTCATCGGGTTTTTGCGGCACGTGCGGGTGGACGCGGCCCCGGCTCCGAAAACGGGGCTCGGTGAGGGAAAGCGGCTGGCTCTGGGGGACGGGTGGTTACGGTGCAGGGTCACCAGTGCCACCGGGAGAGCGTCCGTCCGTGGTAGCGCACTGTCCCCGAGGTGGCTGGAGTCGACCTCGGCTCCGTCCTGTTTGCGGTGGAGGCGTCTTAGCCACACGGACCGACGTCGCTATCTTAGGGGCCGGTCTTGCAGCAGGACAGCTAAGCGTCGGAGCCCCTGTGTGCGTAATGACTTCTCGGTTACACGAGAGGTCGTGGGAGGCTCTTCTGGGACCTGGGGTCGTGCTTGGGCTCATGCCTGAAAATGAGCTGCTGGGGAAAAGACAGAGCTTCAGAAGCCAGTTAAGAGCACGGAAGGCAAAAGAAGCCCCTCTGTTCGGTCCTCTAATGACGTGCAGGGACACAGGGAGCTGCTGTCGTTCTGTATTTTCCTTTGAACCTGCAGCAGGCCTCAATGAGGCTAAGTTTAAAACATGAGGTTTCAAACCTACAAAATCCGTGTCTTTCCTTGGGCAGATGGGGGATGTCCTGTATCTTGATAGAGCCGTAGATTTGTGCGTTTCATCATATGTAAGTTTTACAAAAAATGAAATGGAGGGTAACTGGGCAGCACCCTGGCCCGTGGCGGCCTCTCTGACTCTGGGAGACTGACCCCTCGGGAGCCGGCCTCCGGCCCCCAGCATCCCGGTGGGACTCGGGGCTCAGCTGGGAGAGGTTATGGTCACATCCCACTGGAATTGCTCGTGGCCGGGACCTTAGTCAGCGGGTGAAACAAATCCCATTTATTATAGAAAAGGAGGAGTCTTGCCATAAAATAATAATAATACCTGGATGTTGAGCAGAGCCAGAAGGATTATGTGTGGAGGACTGCTTATTAATTGTAATTATTTTTACAACCACCAGAACAGGGCTGGTCAAAGGAGCCGGGGGCAGTTAACATCCCCTGGCCCGGCTTTGCTGCGCTGCTGCCCCTGGGGTGTCTTGAGGTCAGAGAGCCTGCACACGGTTTAAAAGGGCAGAGAAAAATAGAAATCTCTGCCTTGTTTCTTTTTAAGAGTGAAGGAAACCTCCTAAGCAGCCCTCAATCCCATCCTAGCAGACCCCCTCACGTTTCGTTGGCTGGGATGGTGCCACACAGGTCAGTGTCTCGGCCATGACTTGGCAAGAGGTAGGAGACCACCAGAATGGCCCGATTCATCTCTCGGGACTCAGAAGGGCCCAGTGTCCCCGTTTAGTCATAGCAGTTGGGAGCAGCACGAACGATCTGGGTTCCCGTTTCCAGGAAGGAAGGGGGAAAGGTCGGTGGACAGGCAGAGACCAAGCTCTGCCCCTGCCATGTGAAGAGGCACGACGCAGGCCTTTCCCTCAGTCTGGCCCCTGAGCTCTTGGGGCCAGGGCTTCTGTGCTTCCCACGTTACAGATGAAGGCCACCCAAGGTCACACAGCTTGTAGATGGGAGAGCTGCCCTCTGGACCCAGGGATCCCAGCTCCAAAGGCATGCTTCTTTCCCTGGGCTGCTCGGACTTTGCAAGGTGCAAACCCAGGTACCAGCGTAAGACACTGATTATTTCATCCCAGGCCACGTGCAATAATAGATAGCCGTGACCCGTCCCAGGGTCCCCGCGAGATCCTCTTTTCAGATCCCACACCCGGGGAGCGTGCAGCCGGACATCAGCAGCTCCTGGCTCACCTCCGGTTAGGAAGGCCCTTCAGGGGCGCCTGGCTGGCTCAGTCGGTGGAGCATGCAACTCTTGATATCAGGGTTGTGAGTTCAAGTCTCATGTGGGGTGTAGAGATTATTTAAAAATCTTTTTTTTTTAATTTTATTTTTTAATGTTTATTTATTTATTTATTTTTTTAAAAATTTTTTTTCCAACGTTTATTTATTTTTGGGACAGAGAGAGACAGAGCATGAACGGGGGAGGGGCAGAGAGAGAGGGAGACACAGAATCGGAAACAGGCTCCAGGCTCTGAGCCATCAGCCCAGAGCCTGACGCGGGGCTCGAACTCAGGGACTGCGAGATCGTGACCTGGCTGAAGTCGGACGCTTAACCGACTGCGCCACCCAGGCGCCCCAATGTTTATTTATTTTTGAGAGAGAGAGAGACAGAGCATGAGCGGGGCAGGGGCAGAGAGAGGGAGACACAGAATCCGAAGCAGGCTCCAGTCTCTGAGCTGAGAACACAGAGCCCGACACGGGGCTCGAACTCATGAACGGTGAGATCATGACCTGAGCTGACGTCGGACACCCAACTGACTTGAGTTACCCAGGTGCCCCCCAATTTTTTTTTTGGCCTATTAAGAATAGAGAAGCAGGGACACCTGGGTGGCTCAGTGGGTTAAGCGTCTGACTTTGGCTCAGGTCATGATCTCATGGTTCGTGGGTTCGAGCCCCGCGTCGGCCTCTGTGCTGACAGCTCGGGGCCTGGATCCTGCTTCGGATTCTGTGTCTCCCTCTCTCTCTGCCCCTCCTGCGCGCGCACTCTCTCTCTCTCAAATATAAATAAACGTTTAAAAAAATTTTTAAAAAAGGGAAAGTCTTTCACAAAGGGTGTCGATGGGGGAAGCCTTCCCTCCAAGAGGGTGGGCAAGCAGCATGTGGCAGTCAGGCCATGGGCCCTGTCCCTGCGCTGCTGGTGCCCCGGGGTGACTCAGGACGGGAGATGTGGGATCCTTGGCCCCGTTCGTTTTCTGCCATCCTGTCTGTACCAGGTGGCATCAGCGTGGCCACCCCTGTCTTTTCCACAGGCTGCCCTCATGGGGAAACCCTAGTATTCATTAAACAGCATTTCCTTTGGATAAAATGTCTGGGTGGGGAGGGTGTGGTTTGCTTTCAACCCCATGATCTAAATCCTCCCTGGCTTCCCCCCCGCCCCCCCCCCCCCCCCGGCGGCTCCGTGCGGTGCTGAGCTCCGTGCAGGTTCCCCACGGGGCGGGTGCTGGCTCACACCTCCCCGCACCCCAGAGCTGCCTTCCTCCTCAGCGACTCCTGGGCCAGTGCCTCCGATCTCTTAAGACCTAGGTGTATGTGCGTCTCCCGCAGGAAGCCTGGGCTGACCCGCCTTCTGGAACAGGTGCCCCGCCAGTGTGAACCTGGAGCCCTCCAGGCCTCCCTCCTCTGCTCAGGGCCGAGGGGTTAAAAATCACCCCTGTTGTGCAGACTCTGGGACAAGACGGTTTGCGAGGAGTCGCTGGCGTGTCACTGGGGGCTGTGGGGCCAGATCGTCTGGGTTTACGTCTTGTTTCTTCCCCTTATCTTGGGCAGGCTGCTTATTCTTCCTCTGCCTTAGTGCCCTCGTCTGGCAAATGAGGGGGATGATAACACCCACCGCGTCAAGCAGTCGTTGGTGAGGATTCCATTTAGCTCTTACACCCCGGACGCATACTCTGCCCACGTGTCTGTCTCTCGCCACGTCTTCTCACTGCCTTTCCTGTACGTAGCACAGGCGTTCAGAAGGCCTTCAGTAAATGTCCATCGATTGAATGAACCCCCTAGTCCGTCAATATTGTTCTGGCTTTTTCATGACCCTCTGGAAACGAATCAATCTCCGGTTGATGTCAGCACCACAGAAGTGATCTGGCTTCATGCACGATCCCTTAGGACTCCTGTAGGTGCCCCGAGATGACCCACAGCCCCGAATATGATTGGGCTCTGGCATCGTGACTCGGAAACAGGACCGCCTGAGCCCTGGGTTCATCCTGGCCTCCAGCTCCTGGCTGATGACGGGTCCTACAAAGCGGGGTAACACGGCAGAGTCTGTGACTTGTCCGGGAAGAGTTGGGAGAAGGGACCGTCTTCGGAGCCCCGTGACTGGGTTGGATGGAGAAATTCAACAAAGCTCCCTACCTCGGAGAGCACGGGGTGCCCGTTCGGGTGCGTTTTCTCTATTTTGACTCCTCTCTCTCGCCCCCTCCGTCCTTTCCCTAGCTACTATGCTGTCCTGTACCCCATGGTGTACCCCATGAAGATCACGGGGAACCGCGCCGTGATGGCGCTCGTCTACATATGGCTTCACTCCCTCATCGGCTGCCTGCCGCCTCTCTTTGGTTGGTCGTCGGTGGAGTTTGACGAGTTCAAGTGGATGTGTGTGGCTGCGTGGCACCGGGAGCCCGGCTATACCGCCTTCTGGCAGATCTGGTGTGCCCTCTTCCCCTTTCTGGTCATGCTGGTGTGCTATGGCTTTATCTTCCGCGTGGCCAGGGTCAAGGCGCGCAAGGTGCACTGTGGCACCGTGGTCATCGTGGAGGAGGACCCCCAGAGGGATGGGAGGAAGAACTCCAGCACCTCCACCTCCTCCTCCGGCAGTAGGAGGAACGCCTTTCAGGGCGTGGTCTATTCGGCCAACCAGTGCAAAGCCCTCATCACCATCCTGGTGGTCGTCGGTGCCTTCATGGTCACCTGGGGCCCCTACATGGTTGTCATCACCTCTGAGGCCCTCTGGGGGAAGAACTACGTCTCCCCGACCCTAGAGACCTGGGCCACGTGGCTGTCCTTTACCAGTGCCATCTGCCACCCCCTGATCTATGGGCTCTGGAACAAGACGGTTCGCAAGGAGCTGCTGGGCATGTGCTTTGGGGATCGGTATTACCGGGAGCCGTTCGTGCAGCGGCAGAGGACTTCCAGGCTCTTCAGCATTTCCAACAGGATCACAGGTAACCTGGGGACTTGCGGGGAGGGGGAGGCCCTCTGCCGTGTTGACGGGTGAGCTCTCAGACCGACGGCGGCCTCGAGGCTCCAAGCACGGTGTGCGTCGGGGGAGGAACGTCCCGGCGCGTCCCCCGTGATTCCCAGGCGGCTTTCGGCAGGGGACACCAGAGTTCAGAAGTCCGTTTTTGGTGTCCCCAGCCACGGCACGCTGGCCTTTCTACAGACAAAAGAACCCAAGCGTTGGACCGGGGTCCCCTCCGCTGTTGGCCAGTCCCTTCGTGTCGGTGTTCTGTAAAGCAGAGTCCACCTTCAGGCACCCCCGCCCCTCCTCGGCTCCTCCTCCCCGATCGTGCTCCTCCTCCCCGATCGTGCTCCTCCTCCCCGATCGTGCTCCTCCTCCCCCGATCGTGCTCCTCCCCCCCATCGCGCTCTTCACCCCCCATCACGCTCCTCCCCCCCATCGCACTCCTCCTCCCTTCCTCAGCTCCTCCTCCCCCATCGCGCTCCTCCTCGGGCCTCTCATGCTGGTCAGCGGTTTCCTCCTGCCGGTGCCAGTAATTCACGTGTGTCGGCGCCAAACCCCAGCCCTCCGCCCTGCCGCCTTGAAATGGCACTGTCCCCTGTGTGTAAAGCTGCTCCATCCGGTAACTGATCTGGGAGCTAACAAGCTTCTGGAGGTGATCCTCTCACCTTTGGTGAGACCCAGAGGACTCGCTCTAGGGAGGGATAGATTTTTTTTTTTTTAGCCCTTTTTATTTGGAAATAATTGTAGACTTGGAGAAGAGCTGGGAAGAGAGGACAGAGACTTCCCACCCACCCCGCTCCTCCTGGCGTTCACATCTGGCCGAATCATAGCAGTTACCAAACCAAGATATTAACATTGGGGCAGTGCTGTTAACTATGCACTGCTTGAGGCAGATTTCCCCCGTGTCCCCAGTCAGGTCCTTTTGCTGGTCCAGGATCCGGATCGCGATCAGGTCATGGCTCCCTTTGTCCTCTTGAAGCTTTGACAAGTCTTTGTTCTTCCCTTGTCTTCTGTGACATTGGCACTTTTTTAGAGTACTGCTAAGGGGGTTTTTAGGATGCCCTTGGTTTGTGTTCAGCTGATGTGTTGTCAGGATTAGAATGAGGTTCTACGTCTTTGGCAGGAATGCCGGGGGTGGGGGGGTGCTGTGGTCTTCTCCGTGATCACATCAGAGGCACATATGTCATTCTGTCTTATTACTGGTTTAGGTTGCCTTGACGTCTCGGTTGATGCCTTGGCTCAGGCTGCTATCACCAAACACCATAGACTAGGGGGCTTAAACCATAGACCTGTATTTCTCACATTTTGGGCGACTGGAAGTCTGAGATCAAGGTGCCACGTGGTTGGAGCCCGGTGAGACCACTCTTCCTAGCTGTCCCCTTGCTGCATCCTCACGTGGATATGGGGAGATGGGACAGGGCAAGGCCTGTGGTCTCTTCTTAGGAGGCCCCCACCCTCATGACCTCATCTGCTCCGGATTACCTCCTGAAGGCCCTACTTCTGGATACCATCATACCGGGGTTAGGGCTTCAGTGTATGAATTTTGGGGGGAACACACTGAGTCCGCACAGTTCAGGAGGCGTCTGCCAGGTTTCTCTGTCGTAAAGTCACTGTTTTTTCCACTGTAATTAAGAAATACACTGGGGGAGAGCCTTCGAGGCCCTGCAAATACCTTGTCTCTCCCTCAGCCTTCACCCACTATTTTTAGCATCCACTGGTGGATCTTGCCTCCAGCGGTTATTACCGTGTTGTTCCGATGGGGAAGTAGCCGGATTTTTAGGGCCATGTTTGAGGGAGATTATCACCCGGATGAGCCGTTGGAAGAGAGATTTGAGGGCGCTTGGATCGACTGGGAAAAGCTAGTTCAGGTTACAGTTCTCTTCTTTTTCTGGGTGACTTTGGGCAGCTCAGACCGCTCGAGAGAAAGGTTCCTGTTCGTGGAATAGAGAGGCCTTCCACCTTCCCTCTCAAGAACGAATTCCCCAGGGTTGTGCGTACTCAGCGGTAGTATTGTTGGGAGATCTTTTCCACGAGGCGGTAAGAAACCAACATCACTGATTTCTTTTGTGGGCTGATGGAGTGTTACTTCTTGAGAGAGGAAGGAAGTCGGGGGCTTTTTCTTCTTCTTTTTCTCCTTTTTTTTTGTAAGTAGGCTCCACGCCCAACATGGTGCTTGAATTCATGACCCTGAGATCAAGAGAGGGAGTTTTCATTCTGAGCAGAGGAGAAGAGCCTTTCCGAACCCCAGTATTGTAACCACCGAAATGCCCATCGCCTGCCCCTGCAAGTCCCTGTTGTCAAGTACGACTTGTGAGCCAGGACTCCATTCACGGTCTGGCTTCATTTCTCCAAGTAACTTACTCAGATTTGGTGAAATCACTCCTCTTTTAGGCAAAAAGTGTATGTTTTGCCCTCCATTGAAGCGAAGAGTGGGGAAAGAGAAAGAGGGAAGAGAATAGAGGAGGAGAGGGTAGCCAGCACCAAAACAAACATCGGATTTGGGCCAGCATTTTCCACGCAGGTCGCCCGTGGTGGTGTCGGCAGAGGCCGTGGGGCCGGGAGAACGCCGGGACGCCCGCTGTGGTTTGGTGGGCAGGTTCGTGGCAGCTGGTGGCCGCCTCCTCGCTGAGGGACGAGCAGTCTCGTGGGAGGCTTTTGGGTTGCAGAGTGTGTGGGCCGATGGGCTCTGTGTACTTGGCCTTCCCCAGCTCCTGAGTGTTGGACGCGGAGCAGAACTCGGCTGCCCTTGCTCCAAGCCCCGCCCGCCCCGGGAATGCCCAACGCCCTTCTGGGCCAAAGAGGGAGGCCCGGCCTCCACCTCTGGGCCTCGGTCCCTCTGGCCGAGCCAGGGAGCGCGGACCCTCCTCTGACACCCCCTGTGGGCCTGGGTTGCATCCGCCCAGACTCCTGAACCCCAATCCGCTTTCCGTCCCTGGAGCCTGTGTTCTGGGCCACCTCCCTCACCTCCGGGAGTGCTGAGCTCGGTGGTAGCAGAGGGAAAGAGGGGGGTAAGACCCCTTCCAAAGGAGCAACAGAGGTCTGGAGGGTCTGTCTTGTTCCTCTCCGTTTGCGGGGCCACCTGGCTGCTGCTCGCTCACAGGCGGTCAGCCCAGCCACGGCGGTCTGGCCCCCGTGACTCCTCACACTGCCGGAGACCAGGGCATGTTCCGGCTTTCACCACAGCCTCAGAGATGGTGTCCAAACCCCACCGCGGCCTCGGCCAGCCCACTTGGCAGTAGACTGTCCCCCACGGGCCCCTCCCTGAGAGACATGGCCACATTCTGAGGTTGGGGCCCTGGACGGGACCAACATGTCTGGAACCTCCTCTGGTGCCCATCTCTACTGCAGCACCCAGCAGGGCCCTCTGCACCAGTGTGGTTCCCGAGTTCGTGAAGGGGTGGTCCTGAGAGAAGCCCCCGCTCCCCCCCCCCCCCCAGTCGTGTCCTCCTTAGCTCCAGGGAAGGCAGGAAAGCGCTTTCTCCATCACCTCGCACCCTCTGAAAACTCAGGACGGAAGTAAAGGTCGGAGCCAGTAAAGATCCGAGCCGTCTCCTGTCTGTAAGGGGACCGTGGGGGTGGGTGGCGGCGGTCTCTTCGGCCTGCTAGGCTGTAGGTGTTCCTCGCGAGGCCAGAGGACTTTGACTTTGTGTGCTGCCTTGTTAATTGCTAAGAGCTCCTTCTCGTGACCTCCGTGGTCTCCGGAGCGTCCGGCTCTTCTGTTCCTGGAGTCGTCATTCTCCCCGTGTTCTAACCCGCGCAGAATTCTTTGTTTTCTTAAGCTCCCTCCACGGTCTCCGCTGAGATCTGTTTCTTTCCCTTCTCCCTCCCGTATTCCTTCTTCTCCTTCTCTCAAGCTGGGGCCTCTCCTGGAGTGTCCAGTGACGAGGCCCTGGGCTCGGGTGGAGGCCCCGCATCGGGAGCAGGAGGCGCTCGGCCCCCCGGGGAGGGTCCTCCCTCTCCTGCTGAGCGAGCTGAGGGGCGGGGGTCCCACTGTTAGCTCCGCAGCCTGGCATCGCGTTCTCGCTTTCTCCGGTGATGCCTCGGCCCGTCCCGGGCCTGCTCCTCTCGCCGTCCTGCCGGCGAGGCGTCCGGGTTGGGCGGAGCCGGAGGAGGGGACCCGCCCCTGCCCAGAGACACTTTCCCTCCGGCCCCACCTGCCGCGGGGGCTCCTGGCCTCCGGTTCCTCAGCTTCCGGGCCCAGTGCGAGAACCGGCCTCCCCCCAGGCCTCCCCCGCCGCCGGCCTCCGCTCCCTGGGTCCGGCCCGCGGTCCTCGTCGGCACCTTCCCGTTGGCGGGCACTCTCTCCCGCTTGGCGCTTCACGCCTCCGGAACGCAGATTCCCCTCTGCCGCTCGGACCTCAGGAGGTCGCGGCGCGTCCGCGTTGCGCGTTTAACCGGAAGATGGTCTCCCAAGACCGCTGCCTCGCGCTCTCCCTGCCACCCGCCTTGTCGGGGTGTGTCGTTGTTGGGAGAGCTTCCTCTTTGGGGGAGCCACGCCCCCGGGGCAGGAACGAGGGGCAGAGGGGGAGAGGGCGGCCGGGGGCTCCCCGTCTTGCGGTGGGTTGACGGCGCGGCTTGCGAGTGACAGAGGGGACAGGAGAGCAGGAGGGGGGGCCGGTGGGGACCGCTGGAGTGGGAGGGACGGGGCCTGCCCCGGCGGGACCTGGACCGTGCTGACGGCGCCGACTCTGCCTTCCAGACCTGGGCCTGTCCCCACACCTCACGGCGCTCATGGCAGGCGGACAGCCCCTGGGGAACAGCAGCAGCACCGGGGACACCGGCTTCAGCTGCTCCCAGGACTCAGGTAAGCCTCCCACGCGTCACACGCCCCGGGGCCCGCTTAGGAGCCGGCGGGAGGGACCTCCCCACGCAGGTGCCTTTCTGGTTGCGGCTTTGAGCTCGCCAGCGTCTCCGGGCCTCGGTTTCCGCCCGTATCAAACTGGGATTTCCCTTCCTCTTCTCTCTGCCACATGGGGTTGTTGTGAGATCCAAACGAAGCGAACCCCTCTGAGAAGCTGAAGTGCCGCGTGCCCGTGAGTTGTTACCCTGAGTGTGACACCCTCGGCCGCCACGGGCTCTGGGGTCCAGCCGCCTGGTGTTCAGTGTCTCGTTGGCCTTTTCTGAGCTGTGCCATCTGGGGCAAGTTGCTTAATCTCTGAGCCTTGGAGCGCCCCGGCTGTGAACTGGGGGTAGCTGGCCCCCATCACGGCAGCTCCCCTGAGGCCACATCCCTGGCTCACCACCCTGGCCTGCTTTGTGCCCTGCCTTTGAGAAACTCGGTCTCCCCGAAGGGACACGTCCCCGGCACAGATGCTCCCCGTCCCCCGTGGCTGTCCCCAGGGGACCCTGCGGGCCGAGCTCCTCCTTCAGGAAGTCCGCCTAGCATGCCGCTGGGCACCTCACCAGGCCCTGGTGAGAGGCAGCGGGCAGAGGCGTCTGCTCCCTGTCCTGGGGCCTGTGCCCACGAGCTGGGCCGTAGGGAGTGGGGCTGAGCTGGAATGAGGCGCAGGGAGCTGGGCAGTGGGGGGGGGTTGCTCCATCCCCGCTGCCCGGAGCTTGTGAAAACTCCTCTCTGCCTTGACCTGAGTCTCCCCCCGCCTCAGCCTGGGACCTCGACGCTGGGGTGGGCCGTGGGCAGGGACCGAGACCAGGCCTTCTGGCGCGGACAGTTTTCGCTGGAGGCAGAATATTCTCTGAGAATGTTCTTTCACCCGTCAGCCAGTGGGTTGAACCACCGTCACACCGTCTCCTCTTGCCCTGCGTCCCTCGTGTGATTTGAAGGAAGGGAAGGTCTGTGGGTCACTCCCCAGGCTCTTTGCCCGTTCGCAGACGACCAGCAGGGATCCGGAGGCAGTGTGAGATCCATTCATTCAACAAATGTTTACGTGCCCAGCCCTCGCTCTGGCCAGACTCTGTACTAGGTTCCAGAGATCCAGTGGTGAGCTGTACTCCTGGAACTTTCTGCGGACCTGGGAGGACGGCCCGTCATCCCACGTGCTTTCAGTAATTCTGCTATTAAAGATTATAACTGTGAGGGCAGCTTTGGAAGGGAGAATTAGAGCAGCTTCTCGGAGAGTGACGTTGAACCCCGAAGAGCAAGGAGGTGGCCAGGCAGAAGGCATAGGCGTCATAGCCGGAGAAGGGGCATGGCCTGGGCCGTCACACGGACCCGGGCGTGTGTGACTTCCAGCCCCGCCGTTTATCGGCTGTAGTCGTGCCTCCCCGATTAGCTCCTGCCGTGTGCCGAGCGCTGTGCCGCATCTTTCCACGCCTCAGCTCACGGTCCTCAGCCAGGCCGTGAGGTGGACCCAACTACCATCCCCGCGTCGCAGCCTTGAGGACGCTGAGGGATTCGGCCACCTGCCCGAGATGCTAGGTCCGCGTGGAGCGCAAACTGGTGCTCTGACTCCCCAGGGCATGATCTTTCTGGAGGCCAGGCGGTGACGCCTCTGCGGCTTGCTCTGAAACAGCAGGAGGACCCCGGGGCTGCCCTGTCTCCCTTGTTTCCCCAGCACTGAGGCCTTGAAGGATTGAAAGCTGGGGACCGGGATGGAACGAGGCTGGGGGACGGTGTCAGGCCAGGGTCCCGGCTCAGCCCAGCCCTCTCTAGTATGACCCCCTGCCTCCCTGCCTTTGTTTCCCCGCTCTTTTAGGGGGTATATTTTTCAATTCTTTTTTGATCCTCAAAGAACTCTACCTTTTCCGGTTTGAAATGTTGATTTAGCACAACATATTTTAACAGTGACGGGAATTCAGACTGTAAGAAGGATCCTCAGACCACAGAGCTCCGAGGGCCCTGCCCCGCACCGAGCCCTGCCCCCGCCCCTCCCTCTCAGGCCCGGCCGACTTCACAGTGTGTGTGGGGGGGGGCGGGCAGCCCCACGGGCCCGCTGCAGACTCCCCGGGATGACACCATGCACACGGTGTCCCTCGGGCACCTGCACATGCTGTGGGGCCATGGTCGCACCTGTTGGTGGGATTGAATATGTGGGGACGAGGAGGCGAGAGAGGTAGAGAAGGAGGCGGCGAGGAGGACCTCGCACCCCTGGTTCCGTGTGCACAATCCACCCTTGGTTTCAGGGACAGATGTGATGCTGCTCGAGGACTACACGTCGGATGACAACCCTCCCTCCCACTGTACTTGCCCCCCCAAGAGGAGGAGCTCGGTGACATTTGAGGATGAAGTGGAACAGATGAAAGGTTGGTCTGTGGCTCACTGCTTTGGGACAGCCCGGGGCGGGGCGGGTGGGGGGCAGCAGAGGGAAAGGATCCGGGGAAGATTCCTTGGCTCAGCCCCGCTCGCACCCCCAGCGTTCCAGGGCTCCCCGCTGCGCCGGCCACCGTGACCGCTCCCGACCCTGCCGGCCTCACTTGTCCCCAGGCCTCCCCTTGTTGGGGCATGCGGCCCCCGGGCTGGGAAGGTGGGGCTGTCGGACTCTAGATAGATGCGCACGCGCACGCACAGCCCCCATCCTGATTCCCGTCTCCTCCCTCGGGAAGCCGCCGGACTGGAGAAAACTTTCTGAGCCCTCCACAGTCTGTCCCCTTTGCGGACGCGGTGTGGGGATAAATCTGAACTTGCCCTCTCTGAGCCTCCGCTTCCTCACGGGGAAAATGGAAGCAGTGGCCCCACGAGTGCTCCCCCCCCCCCCCCCCCCGAGCAGAGGCTGTCGCCTCGACCATCTGTCATCTCTGGAGTCGATGAGGGCGCATGAGCCCGTGAGGGGAGTGGGCTCCCGCATTCCGTCTCCCGCGTGTCCTTGTCGCCTCCGGGACGTAGGGTCTGGTTTCCCATCCGGACAAGCGTGTTAGAAGAGCGACAGGGGACCATCCAGACCGCCCACGACGTAAGACCCTGTCGTCTGGATCCCCGCACGCGAGGGCGGCCGTCAGAACCACTGGGTGGGATGTGGGAGAGTCGGGGTCGGGACCGCGGACTGTGGCCGTCGACATGGGTCCCGTCAGAGCTTTAGGATCGTAGGAATCCCACCTCTTCTCCTGCCCCCCTCCCTGACTCCTGCCCGACTGGGGCGGTCGCAGAGCTCAGGAGGCAGATGGGCCACTCTGCCGGCAGAGTAGACTCAGGAACAGAGGACGGCCCGCAGCCTCATGGGCTCTGTGATATATTAGCCCGGAACCAAAGCATGAAGGACTCCCCCCACCCTCCCCCCCCAGACCGCCCCGCCCACGGGGGCCAGTCTGGCCCCTTCAGACCCACTTAGTGGGGATGGCGGTTCTGAGGGCCCGTCTGCCGGCAGGGAGGAACAGGGCCGCCCTCGGGTCGCGAGTGAGAGGGGCAGGGAGAGGCGATGTGTGCCCCCCCACTCTCCGCTCCATTCTTGTGTCCGGCTGCAGACTCCCTGAGGCGGGGTGACGGCTGGATGTCGCCTCCTCTCCGGAAGAGCATGAGGGGTAGGAGACGCACCGTCGGGAAAGCTGTCAGTGAGGGCAGTGGTGATGAGCGGCGCTGGGCGTGACGTCGCAGACTCCCCTCTCTCTGTTTCTAGTTGTCGGGGGTCCTGATCCCGGGTGGGGCGTGCGGACCTCTGTGTTCCTTCCGACCCGAAGGCTCGGGGGGGGGGGGTCTGAGCCTGTGTGGCCGGGAGAGAGCCCACGCTCAGGATCATGGAAGTTTGTAGCGTAGACGTTGTGTGGTCCTCGGGAGCTGGAACACCAGAGAACTCGTTCAGAGATGGAGAATTTTGAACACCCTCACCCGGGAGTATTTATCAAGCCTTTCTCACGGGCCAGACCCGAACATCTCAGGAGGACCTGTTCACCGACCGCAGAAACCTCCTGGAGGGGGGCGCCGGGGCCTTCTCGCTACAGATGGGGAAGCGTCGGTTGGGATACTTCCAGGCGTCCCCTGCTAGTAAATGGGGAGTCGAGGATTTCGGCCCCGGGGAATCTGACCGCAAAAGCCATGCCCTCAACCCCCTCGGTGGTGAGGCGTCAGCCGGAATATTCCCGCTAGCCCTCGGTCCCAGCCCTCCGCTGACAGTGTCTCTGCTTCTCCCTCAGATGCTGCCAGGAACCCTATTTTGCACGTGAAAGCCGAAGTGCACGAGTCCCTGGACAGTTACGCAGCCAGCTTGGCCAGAGTCATCGAGGCCGAAGCCAAAATCAACCTGTTCGGGGAGGAGGCTTTGCCAGGGGTCCTGGCGGCCGCGCGGACCGTCCCGGGGGCCGGCTTCGGGGGCCGCCGAGGCAGCAGGACTCCGGCGAGTCAGAGGCTGCAGCTGCAGAGCATCGAAGAAGGGAACGTTTTGGCTGCGGAACAGAGATGAGAGCCCGGGGTGGACCGTCTGTCCCGCGGGGTCGCCCGGGGACAGAACACCTGAGGTGTGGCCAGCAGGAAACACCGAACGGCGTGTCTCGTGAGGCCGCGCGTGGGCTCCTTGGAGGTCCCGGCGTTGGGACCAGCGGCGTCTGAGGCACGAAGGAAAGCGGGCGGAGGTGTGGCCAGGACTTTCCAGGAGGTGGGGCGTAGAAGGGACTAGAGACCGGGGCTGGGAAGGAGACCACCAGGTGGCTGACTCCCTCTTCGTGACCCGGGCGCCCGGCAGGGATCTCAGACGGTGAGCCCTTCCCAGCGCGCTTCGGGGGACAGCACGTCCTAACCACGCGAGACCAGCCCCCGGCGTCTGCGTGGTTGATGCGGCCCCCGTGGGACTAGGGTTCTGCACTGAATGGTCCCCAGAGGAGACCCTGGAGCAGGGCCGGTCAGATGGGAGTTCCCACACTTCCATCCCGGTTGTGACCTTGCAGCCCGCATGGAGCCACCTGCTGGTGCCAGTAGGGACGATCCACAGGCCACCCCCCTCCGCCCCGGGGCTGAAGCAGCAGGCCTGAGGCTGCTGTTGCTGAGAATGGGGGCCGTTCTGCCTGCCTCTCTATTGACTGACTCTTTCAAAAGAAGGGAAAAACCACTGTCAAAGCCACGAGGAAGGAGCAGGTGCCAGATGTTTCATTTCCAGAATTTAAAACAAAAATGCGTTCGGTTAGGACAGGCCATGCTCCTCCCAAGCAGGAATGGGGCTGTGGTGCCCCGCACGGCGGGGACACAGAGACACCGTAGTCACACAGGACAGCCTCCTCTGACAGGCTGTGGTGGCCCCGCGACCAGTCAGAATTGCAGCTTCCAGCTGCACAGGGACAGTCCCCCCCCCCCCCCCCATGCAACGGCTGCTGGTCCCCTGGCCCCAGGGCGTGAGGCAGGATGGAGTGCAGACGTCGCGGCACCTGTGCTCCTGGCCCAGCTCCGCTGCTGCTACCATCTGGGACTTCCTGTCGCCCCTCGAAGCCGTCCATCCGGAAAGTGGGAAAAGGGGGCCGGAAGTGGGATTTGAATGGTCTCCAAGGTCATTTCCAGCTGTGATCTTTGACGTTCTCTATCTGTAGGTTAGAGATGGGGGCGGTGGAGGGGGGGAAGTGGACCCTCCCATGGGTGCAGGCACATCTTTCCAGATGGTTTCTGATGGGTGCATGAAGCCCTGCGGGGCGGGCGCGGTGTGTGGGCTCATCAGACCTGTTTCGAGCAGGGTCCTGAGCGACCACCCAGGTGTAGGCTCGGAGGAAGAGGTGGAAGGGGAGCGTCAGGAATGTGATTCGTCTGGTTACAGCGCGCCCACCTCCCCCTTCGATCTGGGACATTCGTTGACGTGTGGGCTTGCGGTAGTGCTGTGGTGACTTGGGAAGCCGTCGAACCGCCTGGGTCATCAGCCGAGCACCAGACTTTCCTCGCTCTGGCAATTCTAGGCGGGCCGCAGGGGGCAGATTCGCGGAGATCCAGCCGCCCCAGGAAGCACACTCCGTTGTGGTGTTTTCTTCCGGGCCTAGCCAGCTCCTGGTGACGCATCGTCCTTTGGCTGCGTGGTCCCCGGCGTGCAAGTTCCTAAAGCCTTCTCCCGAGGTGAGGGCTCGCTGCCTTCCTGGTGACCGAGCCCATCGGCAGTGCTCCGGGTCAGCAGGGTGCCGGGCACTGGTCTAAGTTCTGGATGGGGTGGGAAGGAGCAGGTGGCTTTTCCAGAGGAGCGGAGGGCACATACGCCTGTGGGATCTGCCCAGACGTGCAGGTCACACGGACTCTGCTCCTGCTACTGGGCGTCATTCCTGAATCTTAGGGCCTCTTACGTTTTCTCTGTGTCTTTTTTCCCACGCTTGTCTAGTAAGGGGACCATGTTCCCGAGAAACCAGTGTGCACGGAGATGACCTTTAATCTCTAGGCCGGAATAACCTGGGATGGCTTGCTCACGAGGCCATTTTGAGAGCAGCATGCCGGCTTGGAACCCAGGGGTTGAAAAGCGCTTCCCCTGGGCTGCGCTCGGCTGGGCTCGGCTGGGCTCTAAGGGAGGAGTCTTGGGACCCCAAGTCCCCGCTGGCGGATCCCAGACTGGCTGCGATTTGCTAGGGTTTCACCTGCGCCTGGCTTTACAGGGTCTGTTTCCCTTTTTTCTGTTGACGCTCCTAGGCACCGCGTACCTACTGTGTGCAAAGCACCAGGCTGGCCTCTGGGCGGTGCCTTTAAAGTGTCTTCCTTCACTCGTTATAATACAGGGAGGGACTCGGGTGATACCGAAGATAATGGCAAAGTCAAGTACTTATTCGTTCACCGGAGGGAGGTGGATATTTCCGGGTAGGGCAGCTGGGGATGGCTCCGTGAGGTAGGTGACGACCTCAGAGGACGCGTGGCAGCTAGACCCGTATTTTGCATATTCGGGGATCCAGATCTGCTTGGATCCAGCCTGAGTGAGAGCCAGAGCCGGTGAGGAAAGAGGTGGGTGAGGAGAGGAAGAGTCCACAATTTGCACACGTCTGGAGTTTCCGAGAGGCGTTTTGGAGGACACCGGTTCTCGGTGCAGAAGGTCAAAACCCCAGCTGCCCCCACTCCCCCCGGGCCTGTCGGCGTCATACTGCTGTGTGGTGGCAGCTTGAGACCTTCCTAGGGGACCATAGGGACAGTGGCAGGGTGGACATTTGGGCACACAGTTGCTTAAAAACCTCACTCCCATGTCTTCCCGTTTAAGGCTGTTGTCCATCTCTGCCGCTTTCATCGAGATTGTCATTTGACTGGGTCCCTGCGCTGTGCTGGGGACGCCAGGTCTGGGGGCTCTGGTGGCGCACGCTACAGGGCACACCTAGGGCCAGAGGCACGGAGCTCAGGCGCTTGGGGCCCTGGCCACCAGGTGGCAGCAGCGTGGCTGTGATGCCGCCCGCAGTTCTAGAAAACCCGAAGGGCAAAGCTGAAGGCTCGTCTGCTTCCAGCAGAGCCAGTGCTCAGAACGCTTCGTCCCCTGCCGCCCTCGGCCTTCAAGGCCCCCTGCTTCCCCGGTAGACCCTCCCGGGGCGGATCCTGCTTCTGCTCCGCTGTGTAGGTTACCCGACGTTACCGGTCGTGCAGGGGAGGTGGGCTCGCGGCTGTAAGACCAGGGCCCCCGGCGCTTGTTTTCCGTCCTCATGCCCGGGGCTGCCAAGTAGTCTGCATGGACCTGCGCCACCCGCGAGACTGACTCTGCATTCGTATCGGCCGTGGCCTTCGGGTGGGGCCGAAGAGGGAGGAGACGTGCTTTGATACGGGGAGATCTTGTAAGTCCGCTCGCACTTCACCCGCGAGCACGTGTCCATCCTGACGGCGTGGCCCTGAGATGCTTGCGCCTTCGAGCTCCGTCTCCAGACGGACCGCAGGGCGTGCTCGTGATGGTGGTCGGCCTTGAGCCTGGCTGCCTCCCTTCCGAGGCCCCGGGAGGGGGACGTGGCTGCCGAAGGGTGAGGCGGGGCACCGGCGCGTAGCCGGTGGGTGACACGCGTGGGCACGGCCCGTCCCCCTCGAGCTGCTGCGCCGGCGCTGCGGAGGCGCCCGGCTGAGGTTCTGGTGTGTGCCGGGTCCTGGGGGCCGAGCCCCCGCTGCCGCTCGCGAGCGGGCGTTCTTAGGCCCTTCGGTCTCTTTCCACGTCGCAGTTGTGATATTTCTCTGGGGGGACGCGGATTCCAGGTGGGTCCCCTCCCAGGTGACGGTGTGGATTGAAGCGCCCTGCACGGGACCGGGCGTGGCTGGTGCCGAGCCCTACGGTGACTTCCCAGTGACCGTGGGTGGGTGCGTTAGGCCGGTTTTACAGGGGCTTCTCCGGGACAGGAAGTGAGAATCTTGGCAACTGTGATCCTAGGCGGGAGGTGCTGGGGGCTGCTGCTGTGGGAATCATGTTGCGTACATAGCACAGGAGGGTCTTCTGGGAAGAGACACACGGTGAGGAAGGGGAAGGCAATGGACAGGAGGGAGGAGAGAGAGGCAGGTAGCATCTGGAACTCGAGTCTGAAAGGAGCAAAGTGAGCTTTTCTGTTGTAGAGTCCCGAACCACGGCACAAGCTCAGCCTTGACCTCCCTTACAGCTTGAGTCGTGACCTGGGTGCTAAGGACAGCTCTGTCTTGCAGTGACAGTGACTGCTTGGCCATGGGTCTTGGGCTCACAGGATCTTTGGTCCTCTAAGTCCCTGATGGGAGAGGTGGCCCAGGGACAGGAGTCCGTGCTACTATGCACGGCGGATCCAGGACCCCAGGGGAATCCCGTGGGAGACAGAAGGGACCTCACCCTGAAGTAAAGGACAGTGGCTGTCGTATGTGACTACAAGAGGGGACAGTCTGACCCCCCCTTCTGGGTTGGGGAGAGGGAACACAGAATCCAGGGAGCCCTAGGGAAGCCTAGGAATTGTCCGAGGTCCCAGAGTGCATTAAGCCAGAGTCTGGGTCAAACGCCAGGTCTTGGCCATGTCGCTGAGCGAAGGAGCCAGCTTTGCAGCTGGAGGAGGTTCGGGGGCCCCCCCCCCCCCCCCCCGCCCCCCCGCCGCCCGAAAGTAAAAGTCCTCGTTATCAGACTAGGCCAGCTGCCCTTAGAAGGTAGAAACCATTGTAAACCGAGGAGCTTGGGAGCCTGGAATACTGGCTTGCCAGACCTAAAAAAACCTGCGACCCAAGGAAAGTGGGTTCCTTCGAAAGATTTCAAAGCACAAACTCAAGTCTGCATAAGGTTACCAAGAGCACAGTTTTGCTTAATGATATTTCTAGAACATAATATGCAAAGCTGCGTTCATTTCCCTCAGAATTTTCGTGAATAGTGTTAATAGCTTAGGAATTCGAAGACATTTCTGTTTTTCCTTTTCACACCACCATTCTGAAACATCCCAAGTCCCGGGCAAGTGGCCACTCCCGATGAAGACAGCCCCGCGCAGGATGGGCAGCCTGGGCCTGCGTGGCCACAGAGTGTGGTGGAAAGAGCGGGTTTGCCTGGAAACAGGTCTGTCCCTCTGTGATGTGTGTGTGTTCTAGGAGGCGGAGCTGCGCCGTGTTCTGATAACGGACCCCCGGATGCAAAACTTGTTAAAAACCTTCAGAACAAAACAAAAACAAAGCTAGTCCTGAAATAAATTGCACTTGAAGTTTTGGGATGATTTTTTTTTTTTTTAAGGTAAGAAAAACGTTTAGGGTTCTTATATAAATCACAGTATTTATGAACAAGTAAAAGTAGATTTAGAGTAGCTTTGTTTACCCAGTTGGTTAAATATCCGTTTCGGTACGTGTCTGTGGAGACCGTGGATCTGTACTTGGACTTCTGGGGCCGGGGACTTTCTGAGAGCCTCCACCGTTACCTACTGTGTGCAGCCACACCCCTGTCCGCAGCCTCCCTCCCCGGGGGCTCACGAGAGGAAGGAGACCGCACAGGAAGGGGCCGACTGCCGTAGGATTAGGAGGCGTCGACACCCCACAGTCACCTTGCTGCATCCATCCGTGCGCTTTTCATAAATTCTTCAAGACGTCGTCTCTACATCCGACGTGGGGCTCAGACTCAAAATCCCAAGATCAAGAGTCACGTGCTCTACTGACCGAGCCGGCTGGAAGCCCCAGTGCAGGGTTCTTAAAGGAGGTTTGACGAACGGCCGTGCGCCGTCTCTAAGCCTGTCCCGTAACCAGAGTCAGAGGGCGGCTGGCAGGTTGCCACTGAGACTCAGCAACCCCCAGGCACGGGACCTCCCACCTTCGCCCAGCTCCCTCACCTGCCACCACCGCAGCCTTAATCCTGTGTCGGAGCAGCACGTGGGCCCTGCGGGCCGGGTCCCCAACATGCAGTGAGTCATGGAAGTGACCACGGAGGTGTCCCCTGTGCCTCCGTAGAATGTTTTCTCTTCGCTGCCTCCTTGACTGCTGGTCTGGCCCACCTGCTCCTTTGTAACATAAGGTACCAGATGCTGCAGAATTTAACAGGGTGGGGGGATAACTCCTTTGACAAGTACTGTTACGTTTAAAAAGTTTGAAGGTTCCTAGCAAAAGTGAACAGGAAGTTCAGAGTTCCCATATGCCCCCTGCCCACCCCCCAGGCTCCCCTCCTACCGACAGTCTGTGCCAGAGTGGACAATTGCGATTTTATTTTCATTTTTTAAAATTTTAGAGAGAGAGGGAGAGGGAAAGAGAGAGGATCTTACGCAGGTTCCACGCTCGGTACGGAGCCCAACGAGGGGCTCGATCCCATGACCGTGGGTCATGACCTGAGCTGAAGCCAAGGGTCGGTTGCTCAACTGACTGAGACACCCAGGCAGCCCTTGATTTTCTTCTATGCTCTTCCAGCCAAAGAGCTTCCTTGGCCTCCCCCTCGAGCCTTCTAGTAGCCTCTGCCCCATGAGCCTTGCAGCACCTCTCTAGAGCACATCCGGCCCGGTTTCGTTACAGTGCAAGGAACGACGTCGGTTTTTGTGCTTGTGGTAGTCACTTCAGTTGTTCTGTCAAGCCCTTCAACCTCCGTGGTTTCGTGTGGTCCCCACACAGCCCCGGGACACAGGTGGTACAATAGGAATACGTCCATCTTACGGAGGAGGAGGCCAGCCCAGAGAAGTCAGATGGCTTCAACAGGTCACGTAACTAGTTGGGAATCAGAAGCGAAGACCTTTGTGCTTCCCAGAAATCATGCAATTGTCCTGTTCGGCTACAGCTCGAATTCCTTTTCCCTTTACCATTCGCCACATCTCCTGACGTGAGAACGTGTCTGTCCCGTCCAGGGCGAGAGCTAGATGTTGAAGTCTACCTGAAGTTGCTGAGCCAGCAGAAGAGTTACTTTTCTTCCGTCCAAAAAGCCAGTCTGCCTTCTCTTGGTCGGTGTCCCTGGGCTTCCCGCCATCTTCTGCTGCCAGGCGAAGGGGCGATGCCTGGTCGCCGCGAGGGGGAGGGTGCTTCGCCCGCTACACCCGTGAGTCCATTCGTGGCCCAGCCGGAGGAAGCGGCACGAAGGGGAGAGGAGGGAGGAGGACAGCAGGGTGGCCTCTGCAGGGGTGGTTTCGGCTCAGAAGGTGCAGGCCTGGGTGGGGACGGCCTGAGGGGGGTGCAGTTGGACACCAGAGTTGAGGGGGACCCAGAATTACAAGACTGGACGGTCGACAGCTCGTGGCTGAAACCGAGAAGTTGGAGAGGGGAAGCCGGGGGGCCAGCGCTTTCGGGACGAGCTTGCGCTGGTCCGTCACGTGAGCTACCCGTGATGCTCTGGGCCTGTTGCCGGCAGCCTAACGCCTGTACTTGGGTGGAGAGGGATCACGAACCATGAAAGATGGAGATTAGAGGTGAAGGTAGCGTGCTCTGGAAGGAGAAATGAGAAAAGCTCCTCTATGTGATTCTAGCACACAGAAGTCACAACAGAAAAGGTTATCAGATCTAGAAAAGAATAGAGAAAGAGCCTTATGTTATAGAGAAGACTGGAGAATGTGGGTCGGGGTAGCAAGGCATTCAATGAAAAGTCAAATCCAGGACATCTTAAAACAACCAACTTCTTTTATTAGAAAGCAACAAACATGCAAATGGCAAGTGTAGAAATTTATCTGAACCAACATTTTCACTATAATGAAAATTACTCTCCACGTTGACCCAAGCTCTCCTATCCGAAGGTTAGGGAAAATATTGCACTTTGCATTTTCTAGCACTCCTCATACATGGCAAAAAGTTTTAAAAACATTTTGCTAGTTTTGTTTTACACGCTCTCCCAAATTCATGCACACAGTCATTCCAAACCAATGTCAGGTTATCCCCCAAAAAGGGAGAAACTCCAAAACACCATAACCTTAGAATTGCACTAAAGCTCCGTAAAGAGAAAATATAATCAATGTCTTATACAAATTTCAGACCATCTAAGTGCTTGCCAATAAGAGCTGGTTATTCCTCATCCTCATTTTCATTCTCCTGACCAGAACCTTCTGATCGGTCACCCTCCAGCCGGTCTGGAAAACACACAGAGGAGACGCACAAAAAGAAACACTTTTAGAATTACGATTAAGATAATATACAATACCTTCTATTTAAAACCGATGAAAATGTATACATACGAACATATCATCGTGTAAACCTCAGTTCACCTCCGTGTGTACGGAAGCTATTTTTTGCCGCTAGAAGCAAATAAGAGAGTCCGGGAAACAGCACTATACCTTAGAATATGCATGTAATTCTAACCGTAATACAAATTAAAAAGAAAAACCCTAAGGATCCGGATATATCCCGGTCTACTGTGGGGTTTTTCAGATCGTATTCCTTGGAGTCCAGGAGCCTAAGGAGGTGTCTCGTGACACCAGTAGACCGAGGGGGGCTGTGGGGGAACCCGGGGAACATTCCTAAGGATCTGTGTATTCTGTTGATAAAAAAAAATTTTTTCAGTTAAATATCTGCTATGTTCCAGGCGTCGTGCTAAGGATACAATGGTGACCAAAACAGACCCGCGGTCTCTGCCCTCGAGGGAATACGGGATGGTGAACTGGCGCGTGACACGGCCCGCTGTCCCCGACCGTCACGGTTTGCGCGTCTTGCTCCTCTGCTTGGGACCCTCGCCCCGTCCTGCAGCCGTAAAGCTTCTGCGCACCCACTCAGTGCGACCGTTATGCCGTGTGAAATGTTTCTGGGACTTTTCCAAACCCCCACTTGCAGAATGAGGAACTCCTTCCTCCACATTCCAGACTATCCCGTGTGTCCCGTATAAAGATGACCTAACTGCGGAGACCGGTCGTGTGTGTCTTCTTACTAGACTTGAAGGGCTCTGAGCTCCTGGGAGGGTAGGAACTTTTTCTTTTTTCTTCTGTCCTCAGAGCCTGGAACAGCAGTCCATGCATATAGGTTTTACTAGGATATGTTACGTTAGGTTATGTGAAGAAGGCCACTTTAAAAGCCCCTGTCACCACTAGCATGGAGCCCATTCTGTCACAGGAACACTCCCCCCAGGGCAGCGTGGAAAACACGGAGATCAGACATGGGGGAGAAGTTCAGTCCCGGCTGTCAACAGCAAGAAGACTGAAGCCTGAGCTTTTACTTAGGACCTCCGGAGGCGTGAACTCTCCCACTGGGTCACTGGGTCCTAGGTCAGCACCACCAAGAGCAGTGTACAGAGGGACTGTGTGTTTTCTGTCCAAGTGAATGAAACTAAATCCCCTCTATGCTGACTCCATTTTGAAATCAAACTAATGAGATGATGTATATGATCTATAATCTGAACTACACAAGTTTTAGCTATTATTATTATTATATAGTACGTGTTCCATACACATTTGCAAAATAAATGAACCAAAATAAGGTTTGGATTGACCTTCATGTATCAACCACTAAGGAATCCAAGCACAGTGGAAGAATTTCTGGTCAGCACTAACGAATGTTAGTATAAAAGAGATTACAATCTTTATATTGTGATACACTTTCACGAGGGAGCGAAACACGAAGTCACTATCTGCCTCAGTAGAGTGCCGTGAGTGGGAATCCCGGACACGGCTGACTATATTCAACAAACCTATTCCTGTCCCACTGGAAGCACGAGGAAGGAGTGTCCGCCGGTTTCAAAGTGCGCCGGTTCTTACCCACATTCTTTCGCTCGTCACACTATGCGTGAAGATGGGGAAACGGCGGGTCAACAAGAATTGTCACAGTCTTTAACTCCGGGAGTTTACGGTAGACAACAGACTTCTGCAGAGTCCAGAGCAAGCCGCAGAGTCAAGCGAGGGCCAGGAGTGTCTAGCATAGGCCAGCGAGTGACTGACCGTGGCTCCCGGAATGAGAAGAGGGCAGAACGGTGGTTCTTTTTTCAAGTCCATCACAGTCACTGCAGAGTCCTCTCTCAGAACATAAGCCCAATTTCTAAGAATAAAGGAAACCTTCTGTTCGTGAAGTCCCACCTCTCCGAGGCAGGGAAACTGCACCGCGGCTCAATGTTTACACCGACCTCTGGTTGGCAGTTATAGACCGGGGAGGCCTGACAAACCCTGTTCCTTGAAATGAAAACTGAAAGTAAGAATCGCTTCTAAATCCACTGTTTTTAAACGCAGACAATACTGTGATAGGAAAAGGCAGGATAAAACGGCGGAGAGGGACAGGTTAGGTAGGACCCGGAGGCTCTGGGCGGGGAGGACCGCGTGTTTCGGAACAGCGCTGGGAGTGTCTGACTACAGCCAACCCCCACAGGCACAAACAAGGTCCCTCTTAGGAATGTAACAAACGCCATCCGCTCCCCCTCAGGGCCCCCTCAGGAATTTGACAATCAAAACACCTAACTAGAAAAGCAAACCATAAAACGTGTGTGACAGGAGGGACAGTATGACTCCTCGTACAATGGAACCGAGTCAACCAGGAACGGACGACCCAGCACCTAGAGCCGTCCAGCCAGTAAGGGCAGGACCTGAGAAGGAACAAGGGGGCGGGGAAGGGAGAGGCGACCAGAATCTTCCAGACAAAGGCCCTTGCCTACAGTCGCGGGCATTCGCTGTCAAACGTGCCCTGTCAAGAGAGCTTCCATGCTCTTCTCCCTTCCTGCCCTTACACTCCGTAAACTTTGGCCTGCTGCTCCTTTTGTGTCGCCTCTAAGTTCTTCGAAGCGGCGAGACAAGGAACCCTGGGTACTGAGGTGAAAAATCCTGCAACGGTACCAAACCGTTTTTGTAAATACGGTTTACGTTTGTGGGAAGCCTTTTTTATTCTTGTCAGGAATATTTCCTCAGGAAATTATTTTTGGTCGGGGAAATATGAAGAGAGAGAGAGGAAAACAAGTCCCCGAAGGAATCCTGTGTTCCACAAAACTACCGTGCAGTTCTCCAGACCATCCTTCACAAAATTATTTATTTTTCTAAGAAAAAGAATAAATTTGTGACTTCTTGTTAGAGATGTGACACTAGAAATTCATTCATTTATTCAACAGACATTTGATGAACAACGAATACGTGCCAGGCGCTGTTCTAGGAGTTAAATATCCAGCTATGAAGAAGACAAACTAGGTCTCTGCTCTCAATGAGACCACCTCCTAAAGGGGAAAAATCGAAAACAAGACAACCAACATTTTCCCCCTTTAATTTGTAAGAAGGCAGCAGATACAGTAGCGAAAAGTTGGGCTAAGTACTTGAGGAAAATAGGCAATGAACAGAGTGGGTGACTGAGAGGCAGGGCACGAGCGAGAAGGCACATGAAGCAACGTCACGTTGGGTGAAGTGTCTACCGAGACTTTTCTAAGGAGGTGACGCTGGAGCTGAGGGCTCAACTGTATGTTCAGTTCAGGGCCAAAGTCCTTCAGGCAAAGGAAACAGTCAGCGAAAAGGTCCTAAGTGTGCTAAGAAGCTTGATCAGTCTGAGGAAAGAAGAGGCGGCCGGCATGCTGAAACGCGGTGCGCTGCGGGATAACTGGAATGACTGGAAGTCAGAGGCTGGCAAGGGTTAGATCATGTAGGACCTGGCAGACCAGGTCTTTTTTTTTTACTAAAAATTTTTTAAAATCTTTATTTTTGAGACAGCGAGTGAGCGCGGGAGAGAGCGCGAGTGGGGGAAGGGCAGAGAGAGAGGGAGACACAGAATCCGAAGCAGGCTCCAGGCTCTGAGCCGTCATCCCAGAGCCCGAGGCGGGGCTCGAACTCACGAACCACGAGATCATGACCTGAGCTGCAATTGGACACTCAACCGACTGAACCACCCAGGTGCCCCAGACCAGTCTTATTTTATGAGCAATGGGGATCCCCCAAGAATTTTAAGTGGGGTGACAGAGCCTAATTTATGTAAAAAAAGGGGCTAATAAACTGACTCGGGCAAATCCAGCCCATAGCCTATTTTTGCAAATAAACTTTTATTAAAACAGAGCCACGCCCATTCATCTACAGATTATGTGTGGCCACTTTTACACGACCACATCAGAGATGAGTAGCTACAGCAGACACCAAGTGACCCACAAAGTCTAAAATAGTTACTATTTTGCCATTTCAAGAAAAAATTTGCTGACCCACGTTTTAAAAAAGATCCCTCTGGCCACCCTATGGAAATCAGACTGTGTGAAGGTGGGAGCAGGGAGACCAAGAGTAGGTGAATATGGTTATATTCCGAAGTAAAGTTACAATTGCTGACGCAGTGAACCTGTGCATAGGACTTGGTAAGTGCCGTGAGCTCAGTCGAGGTGGGGCTCTGGCACCAACCACGGAGGGCACCATGGCCACCTAGAGCTCCCTGGGCCAAGGCCCAGAGGTATGAAGGGAGGTATGTCAAGTGATGCTTCAGGGTTTCCTAAGTCATGCTAACACATCTGGACTCTGTCCTGAGAACATGAGAGGCACATTTTAAGGAGAGGAGTAAACTACCAGATACTGAGACATTCTAGAAGAGGTTAGAATGGTGCAAACACACAATCACCATCTCTCCAAAGTCTATCACAACTTCCAGGGGTCTCAGAACTGCCTTTACGCCTCAAGAAGTGGCTGGCCTGCACTAGAAGTCTTTGTAGAGGCCGCTTTTAGGCAAACAGGCTCGAGCAATGGACTGTTTAAGGGGCCCACCGCGACCACCTGGCTGGATACAGACAGGCCCACCAGGGGACCCACCTCAAAATAGCCAGAGGCCCTAAGTGACCCATGGGCTCCTTACAACCAGGCACAGCTACCAATAAAGGGAAAATTCCACGGCAGCCACACCTCCTCATCTCCTCCTTTAAAAACAGCCTCCACCCACTGCCTCCTTGCAGACAGCTTCTCCTCTGCCTGCCTGCCCCCGCTCCCCAGCCGCATATTCAGTGAACCTCTATCTCCTTTGTTCCGCCTCAGGTGAATTGCCCCCCCTCCCCGCTTCTACCCGTTGCCCCACATTTGGGGGCCCCCATCCGAAGCATACACCACATTCAGACACCACAGTCTTTACTGCTGTACTCATGGGAATGATTTTGCATGCTGTTTTGAAAATGCAGAAGCTCAAACCCTATTCAGATCAAATGAGTAAGAATCTTCAAGGGGTAGGACCCAAGTATTTGTAGGTGACAAAGCCGCACCGGGGATCTGAAGTGCAGCCTTCGCTGAAGATCACAGCTCCGCCAGGAAGAGGCCGCCCAGTACCTGTTCCCTGGGCCTCCCAGGAAGCCTTGTGGAGTAATGGAGGGGCTGGACTATTCTGGAGCTAGCCTGGGCTTACTTGATCGCCGTCCATCACCAACTCTCCTTGAGTACCTGCACACGCTCATGGTACTCCAAGAACTGGAGACAAGGAGCCAAGGAGAGGAAAGGGGAGAATAACTGACTCATCAAGTAACCTGATGTCTTAAGGATAAAAACAACTCTCGGGAACATCTTTCTTTCCAGTCTTTTACGTAAGACAAGCAAGAGGGTGAGCTGACGAAACCAATTAGAAGGTGTTTTCGGTTGACGGCAAAAAGAACCGGAAGCAAAGGGATCTTCACAGTATGAGACATCTTCTCTAACACTCAAATCAAAGGAGGCCAGTAGTAGCTGTTGGCGAACAAACCACCTGAGCACCCGTACAAAACAGATTCTGCACAGACCAGAGAAGAATGTTTTCCACAGAAAAACTAAGGAAGAGCCCTTCGCCAGATAAACTCTTCAGAGCAAGCAAGTTTTAAGAATCCTAATTGGCAAATGTTCTAGAAAAGCTACCTTCTCAAGTCTGAAATCTAGATGAATTTTAAGGGTTACTCACTGTTATTGAAGAAAATGGATCAAAAATCTTAGTCATTAATGTGATAATACAGGTGCCTCAAAGCCACTGCAAAAATATTTGGTTGGACTACTAACATTTTCTGTTTACGTTCCACGTTTATTTTTTGTTTTGACCATTTGAAAATCTCATTCTTTCCTGGTAGTAGTTAATATTTACAATTTCATGATTTTCTCCCCATCTCATATGAGTTTCTTTCAATTCTTTAGATGTGCTCCACACTCTTTCTCCTCCAGGACTTCGAAAAATGCTACATACCCTTTACTTTGCCTGGAATATTTGTCCCTACTCTCTCTGAGGAAGTGATATTTAATCCACCGCTTACAAAGACCTGAAGGATAAGCAAAATGATCCTAACGAAGAATGAGGATGTAAGGGGGACAACATGATGATAAAGATCCTGAGGTGGAAAAGAGTTTGACATGCCCCCAAATTCAAAAAGGGCCAGAGTGGATGGAATGGACACAGAAGGAGAAAATACTGTGAATGAGCCTGTAAAGAAGCTTGAGATCAGATCACCCGGGTGGCTGCGTGTCATATTTCTGATCTGAACGTATTCCTACAAGTGAACTTTCTAGGTCAAAGGGGAGTAAGGGCGTGGAACTCAGTTTCACACCTAGGCTTCACCATTCATCAGCTGTATGAGCTGGGGCGAGCTATTACGAATAAATAACCGACTTTCTAGAGGGTTGGAGCTCATTGGGAAACATCTGTGAAATGACTAGCGTGGTGCCTGACACATTACAGGTACTCTAGAAACGATGGCCGCTGTTACTATTAAGTAATAGGTAATACCCAACATATGAAGACATTTAATTTGTGAAATCAGTGAAGAACAACAAACCTGTCTCGTTTGATAAATGTACTTTGTTTACAATGGACACTGGATCTTTTCTACTGTTATGAACACTGATTATATTCACTTCCTTCTTGAATATTAATTGTAATGTATACGATTTTGTGTTTCTTTGGCACCGAACCTCACGGTTTATCATCGAAAACAAAAAGTATTTAAAAACCCATACTGAGGTATCTGTTTCGACCTTCACAGTAGCATGTAACACTTATTTTTGTCTGGGCTAGGAGTAATTTTGACCACATCTACCATAAAAGGGTACCTTACTGTAGAACATAGCGTAAGGTTTATGGTATGATCCTCCACCCCGAGAAGAGAAGCACAGCTGATAAAAGTTTTTAAGTGACTCTGTCTTTTCATTTGGACGCTTTTCAATAAATTTGCTTCATGAGGAAGTAAGTTTACTGTACTAAGATCCAGGGTTCACAGAACTCCTAGCTCAGGAATTACATCGCCCTCGTTTTGTGGTTAAAGGAAATTATACAAATCACTTTGAAGCAGATCTTAAGTAATAGATCTTAAGCAGATTATTTAAGCAGATCTTAAATAATGTTTTTCAAATGTAACAATGGTTTGAGTAATACAATGACAGTCCTTACCAGCTCTGATATGATTCAGTGAAGCCAACATCCTCAACATGAAAGAGGCTGGGACTGTGATGGTGTTTCTAGTCTCCTCCAGCATGAGTTCATTTCGAGTTATAACCTGAGGCAAGTTAAACAACCAGGTCAGAAGCAATGAAGCAACTACACGTTCCCATGAAGATTAGGAGAACAGTAAAAAAATTAGCACGTCCAAAGAGGAATTACTTCATTCTTTCCACGTACGCTGTGTATATTTCCACCCTAAGGCTACTCGATGCCAGGTAATTAACTTGCAGTGAGGGAGTAACATCACAGAACGCTACTCTTTCAACTGGCAGCAAAGAGAAAGGTCACACTTTGAGGCTACTTAAAACATTCAAGAATTCAATGAATTTTTTCTTGTAACTTGTTTCCCCGAGCAGTCTACCTTGTGTCTGCTCATTATTTTCCCCTGCGGCAGAGCTGATGCTCTTAGTGACGGAGGGGTGTGAAATTACTATCCCTGGGTCATTTGGATCTCTGGAGAAAACGTTACCTTGACTGAGGCAAAGTAATCTTGAAGAATAAAGTTTTGGATTAAGAGTCACCAATGAATTGTATCTTAAGTACCAAGAACAGGACTAAATGATTACCCATAAACACCTAGGAATCTACTATACAGTCATGAGCAAAGGGGGAAACAGAAAGAGGGAACCGCAAAGCGTGTGGCAAAGGAAAAAAGAAAGAAAGGAAAGCATGAGAATAAGAGAAAGATGCTAATGTCATCAGTGGTTCCCCAGTGATTTACACACTTTCAACTCCTGGGGCACCCCCAGGGCCCTTTATAATCTTGCCCCAGGGAGCTGCTTTCTTACCCACTCACCCCTGGTTCGTTATTTACCTACCTTAGGACACCCTGGAACATGCTGATCCTTCATCTCAAGTACTCCTTAGCTCCCTGTCTGCCTGGTGAACTCTGTCCAATTTGTACTTCCTCTGCAAAGACTCCCCCATCCCATCTACCCCATGTATAAGCACCTCTGCTCCTTTGTCACAGGCTTCCAGAACACTGTGTGTGCCTCCCTACATTCTGGCTGACTGTTCACAAGTCTGTCTTTCCCACCAGCCTAAAAGCTCTGAGGGAAGGTTTATTTTTTTAAAATTCATGAGGGCGCCTGGGTGGCTCAGTCGGTTGGGCATCCGACTTTGGCTCAGGTCATGATCTCGCAAGTTTGTGGGTTCAAGGCCTGCGTTGGGCTCTGTGTGGACAGCTCAGAGCCTGGAGCCTGCTTCAGATTCTGTGTCTCCCTCTCCCTCTGCCCTCCCCGGCTTGTGCGCATGCGCTCTCTCTCTCTCTCTCTCTCTCTCTCTCTCTCTCTCAAAAATAAACAATAAAAAAAAGTTAAAAAAAATAAAAATAAAAATAAAAAAATAAAATTCAGCACTGTGCCTGACATAGAAGTTATAAATGTCTACTAGAAAGCAGATATGGGAACTGTGCCGTGAACTGTCAACCCTGGTCTAGAGCTCTGGCTTTCTAACTAACATTTCTCAGTAATGGACCCTCACTTTATGTTTTTAAGAGAATGCAGCATCTACTTGAGCTGCATTCACAGAATGCAGAAACTCACAGAAATTCAACAGTTACGTCAGGAGCTAACTGATTAATGCCATGGACCCTTATTTTCATAAGAAATCTTCTATGAAAACCCACTAATAAAAACCCCAGCTGAAGTTAGGGAGGAAAAGCCCAGAATTCAGCGTTTGTGTCATCCACCTTCCCTCTTCTCATCCCACAAAAAACCTACAGCTTCACACAACCCAGTTTCAAAGCTGTTGGTTTAACAAGGAGCTGAAGAAATCTAAAATATAACAAAAAGGAAAAGATTCTCCAGTCATTTGTTCTGCTACTTATTTGGCTGTGATTATGGAGGGCAGCCAGAGTAAAACTATTTTCTTAAAAGGACAGAAGGTTTTTTAAATGACTCTTCATTGCAAAAGCACAGATAGTCAATCTGTTTTTCTTAAACTATAATACACTTAATCTGGTATTACCGATGATCAGTATTACAATTATCAAAATACTCTGATTTTTACTTCTCTAGTATTATAGGCATGTTATTGTTTCTTTTTCTTAAAATTCGACCTCCTCAATTAAATAAACTTGTTTATGTTACCAACTAATAATGAGCTGATGGGCGTCTTCTTAAGAAAGCATTTCAGGAATAAAGTGACATACACTCATTATAATAAGTATAAGTAAAAAACTTACTTCATCAGCAAGTTTGCGGTTAAAAATCCTGGACTCTTCTAGTGGTGACCAGATCTTTATGTCATAATCTATGCCAGATGAGGCTAGAACTAGAAATAAAATGTGCATATTAATATAAAGCATAAAAACAAGCCATTAAGACATGCATATGTTATACATTATGCATGTATATATATGCATGTATGTATATGCATATACACATATGTACATGTACAGCAAAACTGAGCTGGAATGGAAATTGTACTGATATAGTTGTTAACTGAAAATATGATTTTGAAGATTTTCTAAAAGTTACCCTGGAATATAATTTTAAGACTATCTTGAAATCACTCAAATTTCTTTCTTTTCCATCGCTCTTTTATGAGAAGCATGGGCAATGTCAAATGGAAGGCAAGAACAAGCCAAGCTCTCTCGTTCTGGTACATTAACTTGGCCACGTGAAGGCTAAAAAGGCTTGGAGATGGAGTTTGGGGAAGTAGTGCAAAGTTCAGTCAGCCAAAGCTCTTGCAACTGATAATACTTGGAGGAAATATTAGCAGGATAAACTATCTCCCCATACTTTCTGCCAAAAGGAGGTTCTAAGTGTTTTTGGATTGAAACCCAATGAGAGTCATAACTGACTCTAGTGGCTGCCTTCTAGGATAATATGCATTATTTTTATATTAAAAACTAGCACAAAACTGGAGCTGATGTACAGATTTCTAGCCTTTGCCTTATAAACGGCCATCTTACTTGGGTCAAACGGATGTGGCTGCAGGCAGTTTACCACATGATTATCAGCTTCCAGAAGCATTAAATGCTCGGCAGTGTGACGATCCCAGATGAAGATATGGCCACAATCAGAACCACTCATTACAAAATTAGCACCCCAGAAATTGGCTTCTTTTATCTAAGGGTTTAGAAAAAGGAAATTAGAAGAAAACTCAAATCAGAGTTATTAAAACAAAAACTTATTCTATTCTGCAACTGAAAATATTAGAAAAGAATAAAAAAATAGAAGAGAATCTTTGTCTTCTATTACTTTAAAAATGATACAGATTTTTCAGCAAGCATGATATGGCACTAAGTAATGAAAAGTTCCCCATGAACACAGAGATTCTGCCCTGTTCGATGCTATATTTATAGGGCCTAAAACAGTACTTGGCGACACTAGGTGCGGAATTAGTAACTGCTAAATGAATGAATGGGATTTCTGGGACTGGGCAGTGTAATGGAAACTTCTATATATGTTGCTGACCTTTCCAAAAATGGTTCCATTTTAGGTTTATAATAAAAACAGTTCATAGAAAAAAACGAACAGTTCCTTTTTCTATTTTGCTTTATGATAAAAGAACAAAAAGTACCAATCTTTTTATTAGCTATTCTCCCGCAACTGAGAAAGGATATAGCGTATTTACTTTTATGAAGCAACGAGACAAAGGAAAAGGATATACTGGAATGGTTGTGACGCCATATGGATGATTTTGAATAAACCATCCAAAAATCTTTGTAGTTCAAGATTTTTTCGATCATTTCATCAGTAGCTGCCACTTTGCTATTTTTGCCAAAACAAAAGGGGAAGCCAGTTTTGTTGTTGCTTAGCGCTACTGTTATATTTACTTTTCTTTTTTTTCATTCCTATCTCCAATGGTTTTCATCTAAAATTTTAACCACAAAGTATAAGAAATGTACATTGATCGCTTCTATTGATAATAAGCATTCAGTTTAGAATGATTAAATCGATACTACCAATGATACCTACAGAGACAGCCAATTATTTCCCTACCCCAAATAACTTTTTTAAGGAAGCTCTACACACAACGTGTGGCTTGAACTCAGGACACCAATATCAAGAGTCACACATTCTACCGGATGAGCAGGTATTCCCACAATGTAACTTTTTGCCTTTACTCTGAAGAGTAGATTAAAACTAATTCTATAGGTACTTTTGGATAACTCAATGGATGTATGAGGACAACACTTTCTAAATATGAATGGTTCAGAGTTAACAGTTATGCTAATCATCTTGCAAGATCTTCTTAATATGACACTGGGTATATAGACTTGTGGATTGTAAGACTTGCACAGATCTTAGAGATCATCTGGTCTATTCTTATTTCATAAAGGCGGACACTAAAGTCTAGAGAGACAAAGTGACTGAAGCAAATCTTCACTTGTCAATCTTAAGAGTTATAATTAAAGTCACTGGACTACATTTTGCAATGAGCCTGGATTTCATATATCTAAATCTTCCTCTCCAAACCAACAAAGGGTGCTAATACAAGCTAAAAACAAAAAAAAAATCTACTAGGCCGGTAGACAGCAAGTGTGAGAAAGCAAGAAAGACACAAC